GCCCTTGCGGCTTGTGCCATTCATGTCTACGATCTTGGACGATGAGTCTGGCTGTGTAGTTGTGTTGGCATCTGGCTCGGCAGCTGCAAATCGAATGCAATGCCAGCAGCAGAAGCAGAAGCAGAAGTTGAGCGTAGTCCGATGCTGGTTGCTGTGTCCATCTCCCCGCTCGACCCCTGTTTCTCATTGCCCTGGCTTGGACTCAGCTTTTCGTAGTGGGAGTGGGGAATAAGCAAGGTTCATGAGGCCCCCATTGTCGAGTAGTTCAAGAATATCATTGGTTACCGACAGACTGGTAACGAAGCTGAGCCAACAGGAAATGATCCGGCTGCCCCTCCCTTCTCTCTTCTTTTCTATTCATCCTAGTCCCCTGTCAAGTCGTGTCGTCGACTGTAGTCGTCTTAGTCGGTTCCCTCAATCGCGCTGAGCTGCACTATTCTCATTGTGGAGGTAGGGCCGGGGGCTGTCGGCTACGTTGTGAGGGTTGTCATGATCGCCAGGAGCTTAGACGCCGGTGAGTGAGCGAGCTGCGCGGGGTGTACGTATCCCAAAGAGGGAATAACCAGAGAGTAACGGAGATCGAGAGGGAATAATCTCAATATTAGCCTCATCGCACAGGCGCCTCAGATCTGAGAGTGAGTGGGACAACGAGATATCGAATCTCCACTTCTGGTCTGGAATAAGCATGCATCATGCATCGATCCCCAAGTTCAGTTCACTACGTAGAGACCAACAGAACACAAAACCAGTTGCTTATCGGTGTCTGGGCCGGCAAGCATCATTGTCGAAACCGCCCAGCGCGGGCCGTTGCTCTGCGCTCCCCGCTGCCACTGCCACTGCCATTCCCCTTCACACTCCCTCTTCAATCTTTCAAGTACGGCAAAGAAACACTGTAGAAAACAAGTGCAACGTCTGCCGAGTATTATTAGATCTGGGTTGGGTTGGACTGCGCTTACAGCACATCAACGTTAGCCACACTCTCGACAGTCAAGCACTTAGCACGAAGACGTTGGTTCGGAATCCGCAATAATAGACGACAGAGCGACCCCGAATCTTTCCCTGTCTTGCCAAGCCTCATCTTGTGTCTCACATGATCGCCCGTTTCTTGCTTCAGCTTTTCTTTTTCTCCTCAACATCCTTGTAGTCGTCTTTGAGGATTAGGGTCCCTTTGCCGGGTCCTATCCTTTACCAATACAATCAATTTTCAAGCCAGTTCTTCAGCTGAATTTAATCATGGATGGATGAATGGCTGGTGGTGTGGGGCCTTAGATATCTTAAACCTAAGCAAAGTGTTGTTGAGAGTTTTTGTCGATTGCGGGCTCACATTTCAGGCGCTGAGAACCAACAAGGCCCAAGAATTTGGCCAGTGATGTAAGACCCGATGCAACTTGGCAATACGCAATACTGTGCTGTGCTGTGCTGTACCGTACTGTATATGGTATAGCAAGAATGAGTGGGAAAGTCTCGATGGTATAGGAAGTAGAAAATTCATCGCGAGGCAAGGCTAAAAATTACCCCATTGATGTAATAGACATCAATAACCCGCGGCCTCTCGTCTTTGCTCGGCCTTTGCATTAAGCTTCATCGTAGCGGCCGCTGGCATTGCACCACTCGTCATGTATGGGCGTTTTTGGCACCTTTGATAGCTCAGCTGCCTCAACCATCCAACCAGGAACGGGCCGGGCAGGGTCGTCATCAATGAGAAAGAGCTAATCTTTCTGGTCAAGCCCATACGTCCCCGCCTTCATCAACCAGACCCTTTCGCAGCCCCGACTTGATGCCACGCGTGGCCTCGTATAAAGGCTCGAATAGGCAAAAAGAAAGCAAAACGCCCCTGCGTTTGTTGCGTATGCCGATATGCTTCAACGTTTAAAGAGAGGGCACTAAGTTAGCTTTGTAGCCAACAATGACAATAGGAACATGGCGTTCTGCACCAACTATGGCTGGCGATCAAAGGACTAGCGGGGCTTAGCAGACACGCTCTAGTGTCGTCGTGTCTTCTGCAGCTTGACTAGTAAGGAACTAGAAGAGAAGAAAATACCAACATGGCATTTCCCTGGCCTGGCTTGACTTGGCCTGCCTAGCCTGCCTAACAGACCCCAACCGCTGCAGGTTGAAACAAGGAGATTCCGAGTGGGGGAGGATTAACCTCTAAACTTAGTATGCGTGTGTGCATTTTTGTTGGCTCTGAAGCCTTGCCTATTCATTATTAAGCTTGCTATTGTCAGGCCATGGCATGGTTCGTCCTTGTTGCCAAAAGCGAGATAAGGCCTGTACTGTGCTGTAAGTAGTCATATAATAGAATCGGCTGAGCCTTTTCACACGGTACTCCCAGCAGCTCACAGCGGACTTGAGAGTTCAAGCAGGACCTTTCCAGAGTTCGCATTCTGCTGGCACACAACACCGCATCTCTGTGATGCAATCAGAGAAGAGCAGCCGCGCCCACCCCTGTTCAGACGCCTCAGGATACTTTGTAAGCTCTCAGGTCGGCGGTTGCGAAGGCGTAACCCTAAGCATGAGATGGACATCCGATCCCTCATAATCCTCGGCAACGCATCTTAATCCTCCAAGACGATCATGTTCCAAAAATGAGCAAAGCGTGATCGTTTGCGCCCTGAAAAGCCACCAACGATGCATACCGGTAGTAGCGTGTTAAAGAGATGGTGGTGATCGCATATCTCTGCAGTCCTCATTCGTCCAGAAATCTGATGTCACCAACGTCACACATGCCAGCTACTCCAAATTGAAGTTGTTTGACATGCACTTGTTCAGTTTTAGATGCACTTGCTCCGTCCACGATCTGCTTCCAAATCCTTGCCTTGAGAAGAAGAGAGCCGCGAATCATTGACCATGAATGATACTGAGTTGGCTATTGTGTGAACACAGAGAGGATCAAGAATACAAATGTCGCAGCGGAATCACGGGCAAAATCACTTTAAATGACTGAGATACCGAGATCGTGCTGTGACTTGCCTCATGAGACCCATACCAGTTTGACTGGGGAACCTGGTTCGTCAAGGGCATGATCCTAGCCAGCTAATCGTCGATCTTCGTTCCTGGTGTGCTGTGCCATGCTCCAATTTGGAGAAACCATCCAGTTCGATCGAGTCACATCAATTGGCGGTCGGACGCATTTTCCGCAACCCGGTACCTGGTACGATCCATCAAGCATTTGCAGCCACCTGATCCACTATCGATATTAATTACGATCTGGGGAGATTTGCTTTCCAGATCGCGACAACGATTCGAGCTCAACCAACATCTCACCAACCCATGTGCCCTGACAAGCCCGCGAGCAATGATTTGACCGCAGGAAATAGTCGTTGAGCCACTTTCGAAGCCATAGGGAATAATTTCAGAGTCAGGGCATCGCTTAACAATTGTCCATTCTGACTCGAGACCCTGCGTTGTTATCGCTATCTCTCTGAGCCGAAAGTATTCCGAGTAAGCCAGCCCTTAGCGCAGCTATCGCGATTGCAACAGCAGCTAGGGCAGTAAGAGCTCATGTCTTGAAGACCTGGTTTGCTCTCAGTGTGTCAAATGTCAGTGACCTGTCATCCTATCAGCCCTGCTGATATTGCAGCCAGCTTGCCGCAGCTTGCCCATCGTTGAGATCATCGTGGAGCTGTCCTTTCCGCTCCCTTTCGCTCTCCTCACAATAAGTAACACTCATCGCAAGGACCGGCATCTGATCTGTTGGCTTTAATGGTGAGGGTGTGCATCGCTGATCCTTGTAAAGAGACCCTTGCTGTAAGGAATTTCGTAATGGCACACTGACATGGTCTGCGGAGCTCTCCACATTCAGTATGCGTTCTCGTTGGTTGCGCCTAGGCACACTCCTCGAGGCGTTTCTTGGCTGCTGCACTAATCCATGAGCTTGAGTAGGATCCACCACCCTCATGTCCATGAGCACCTCAAAAGTATGTGCCACAATCTCGTCTGTTTGATGCATTACCGTTATGTGCGACTACCGCGTGACAGATGGTGTATGAGCTCCATGTCAGATCCAATGGCTAGCGGAAGAACGCTAAAAATGGCCCCTCAATCGCAACACAATGTATTGCTATCTCTCCAACGAGACCGAGTCTACTCAACGCACTATGACTGAGCCTGGCAGTTTCTCCAGTGTGGTGTCTTGGAAGTTGAAGGAGTGTCTTCAGCGTTTTCCAGCCGTACGCCATAGAGCGCCTCCTTAAGCCTCAATCATACGATTGTTATGATTTTGCAGAATCTCTGCCTTGTAACTGACCACATTCTCATGCTTTCATCTCAAAAGCAGCCTTTGAATTTTGAAAGACTGTGCCAACTTATGCAGGGATCTCATTCAACGACCTGGAGACTAACGAATTCGCGTTAATCTTTCGTTAGATATATATCAATTGTAGCGTAGAGATAACCGTTGATATATGGGAGTGGGCATGGACCTTGTCGCCGATGGCTCTGTGGTAAAGATCCCTCAATCTTGGAGCCCTTGAAATAATTCAAAATCAGAAAAAGACACCGAGGCGCCTGCCATGCTATGCCATACTCCAATTGATGCACAAGGACGGGATTTAGTTGTATGGGGGAACAACAATCCGCTCCAACATGAAAACTCCAGACATTTGTGATGTCAGTGGATGCCAGATGAGTAGCAATGGATTGCACGTAAACGGGGAATCAACCAAGATAATTGTTCGAGACGACAGATAGGGGTATTTGTCATGGCTTCTCTTGGTTCCACTGACTTGGTCTCCCTCGGTGTTCACAGCATGAACATGTGAGGTTGCATCGATGGCGTCCTGTGCGGCCGGATACGCGCAGCGTATTCTCATGTTATACATCCATGGTAAATGAAGTATCTTGAACACCCACCTGCTGATTTCCCGAACAATGTTGAATCACCACAAAATATGGAACCTTGGGCCAGCTGTTTGAAATGGTTTCGGGCGTCTGATGATGCTACCTCCCTTAATTGAACCGATATATGAAGGTACATATCTTGGTAGGTAGTACTGATCGCTCATTCATATTGGGAAGATCGTATTGTCAATTTATCAATGATCGTGTATTCTTCGAGGAGGCATTATTAGTTGCCAGAGTTGACATCGAATTGTCCATATGCATCGCACCGGGAGATGTTAACAGTAAATCGCCAGGCGGCTAGCCTTGTTACTTCAAAAGTAGGGAATATGAGATTAAAATCTTCGTTTCTTCTTAGCGGGACCAGCAGCAGCTTTCTTTTCAAGCTCCTTTTTGAGTTCCTCTCGCCTTCGGTCCGCCCGTTCCTGTGAGGTTTCTCTACGTCGGGACTCTGCCATGGCTTCCTTTGTTCCTGCTCGACCCCCTCGATTATCTTCGTCCGTTGTCTTCGTTACTTCATCCTTGTTGTCCTTGTGCTTCCCAATAACACCTAACTTCTTGGGATGACGATGAGAAACTGCTGTCGTGCTAGGTTCGGCCGCTTCAGGATCAAGAGCTACTTGCTTTTCTTCAACAGGCCGCTTCGGCTTGTTGCCTCCTATACGTCCAAGGCCGCTTCTATTTGCCGCTGGCCGTGGTGGTGATGAAGATGAAGAGGCTAGATCCTCAACTTCAACAGTAGCTGGTTTATCATCATCCTCTGACTCGGATGCCGTCTCCGAATCATCGCGTTGTTGACTCAATGGCTTTTTCTGAGCCTGTGACTTTACAGGGCTGGGGGAAAGAGGTGGAGTTGACTGCTTCTTTCCACCGAGTGCTCCTAATCGACGAACAGGTTTGTCCGCTTTGCGTGTGCCAGTACCTGGTGATACACTGCCTGCCGAAGCCAACGATTCTCCCTCTGTAGACGCATCATCGGCAACTGGTGTTTCCTTCGCATGCGTCGTTGATTTGCCCTGAGCCACAAGGCGTGGGGGTGTAGACTGAACTTGGAAGTCATCATCGTCTTCCTCAATACGTGCTTTTTCGGAGTCTTGTGGAGTCGGTGACTTGTCCTTCGCAGCAGCCGCTTTGTACTGAGGTGGATGTGCGACGGAGGATGCGTCCTTGAAATCTTGCCACCACTGGTCCAACCGAGGGGACTCAACGCTGTCAGTTATAGGCTCAAATTGTAGTCCTCCCTTCTCGAATACGCATTGTACCAAGGACTCAGCGTCGTTAGGGCAGTTCTCTTCATACGCAAGGCCAGACTTCCAACGCCGGTGGTCGAAAGGGGCAAGACCAGGCACTTTCTCAGCAGCCGCAGCTCTAGAGATCTTCTTCTTTCCCGATAGAGCATTAAAGACATGCTCCATACCTGTCCCCACGGCTTCTAACTTGTCCAGGAGCTTGTTGATAACTGCGTCCTTGTTCCCCAGAGATCGAGTCAGGAATTCGATTTCAAGATCCTTTGCGTGATGTGCCTGGATTAAAGGCAACACGAGATGTGTTGCAATGCTGGAGGGCGGCAGCTTCTTCAAGTACATGGGCCACTTCAGCGGCTGTAATCCAGGTATTTCATAGTTGATATTCAAGACGAGGTCATGATCGCCTGCATCGGACCGGGAATCGCGACCTAGACGAATGCTCGCCTCATTGTGTCCTGGATGAGAAGCATCCAAAGCAGTATTGAGGCAGCTCAAGAATTTGGCCATGTTGTCAGGCGTATCACTAGGGTCGATACTAGTGTTCTCGTTCCAACCTCTCATAAAGATCGCCTTACGATCTAGTGTTTCAGACCACATATTGGCCATATCAGTTACATGAATAGTGTAGGCCGATGTGTCTGTATGGAAGGACACCAATAAAACCGGGAAGTCAGGGGAAGAACCAAGCGGAAGGGGCCGCCATGACCTAGTCTGTGACATATCTGATATAGGAATCGACGTCGGTGTCGACCTGCTAATCCCTAACCACGTGAAGAAATAGTCGACAACACTGACCGAGAACGTGCCTCGAGTGATTGCCAAACTGTGACCTTCCCGTAATATGTGGCAAATAAGACCGAAAAGTCCGTTACGGACTTGCGAGAAAGCGTAGTAGATGATGATGTGTTGAGGACAGTCTAAGCCAAAGAGGTGCTACACAACACCAATCCACGGGGAACGAGGCGAATGCTCGAGTACAAGGTGCCTGGAGATTTTACCACACAGGAATGAAGTCCGATATGAAGTCACAACCTCGTTTCGATTAACCGTATTTGACAAGAATGCCTGGGACCAGTGCAGTGGTACAAGCTCATGTGAGCGGATAGGCAAGGTAGTGTAGAAAGTCAGGGAAGGGTCAGCTAATGAAATCGTATCACGATCCACTGCCTTCCTTATACGAAAGAAGAGATCGGTTTCCAATATCTTGTGGGATGGTCAATTATGAGTGAAATTGTAAGGCTCCTTTTCGAGCGTCGTAATACTGATGTTGTGGTGTTGATGAGGTTAAGGTCAAGCGTGTGATGAGTAGAAATGGAACGCGTGAGGTTTTGCGCACAGGCATCCATCCATCCATCCCCTACCGCTCCTGCCTGTAAGAGTAATCGGCCAATCACAAACCTCGAGAGTGTAGAAAGCGAAGGCAGGTGCAACATCGCTGTCCTGACAGGGGCCAGTTGCTGACTTTCTCCTGTCAATTAATGTTAATAACGGTAAGAATTATTAATAGGCGATTTGGGTCTGAAATAGGTGGTTTCAAAGCCAAATGCCAGTCACCATTCACCGGGTTGAAGCCTGAATTTTAGCCAATCATAACAGATAGACTCACTCCAAGAGAACAGTATTCACACAGTCATAGTACAGCACAATAACTAAGGTACAGCCAGTAAGGTAATAAAACACCACGTACAATCGAACCCGTCTTCTTCTCCCGACACTCAAATTAACAGAGCACGGGCTTGAGAATGCTTCAGTCGCCAATAGCCACTCAGGCAGCTGAAACAGTCACTAAACATCCGAGATCTATGAATCTCAGATCTGCTTGGTGTAAGCTTCGATCGCCAGGGACCTTATGACGTACTTCAAATCGGAGCTCTATGCTTTTTAAAAGCCACAATATCACTACCGCGGCAGCAAAACAATGCCGAGTTTTAGTTAAATTAAATTAGGGGAGGCCTGAAATTTCCTCCCTTTGGTTCAATCAGTTAGACAAACAGAACCGAATCTGTTAATATTTGTGTCCATATGTCACTGTTAAGACTTTGCATTCATGCATCACCACTAAATGCCCTGCGATATTCTTTCACACCAAATCGCGTTCAACTTCCAAGAAGTACGACGATATCTCATCCCGCAAGCTTTACAACAATGCCTCCAAAGAGAACCAAGCGCGAGTTTTCATCGCCCCCGGCCAAAAAGGCAAAGACGTCCAAAACAAATGGTTCCAGCTCATCAGATGCTTTGCGCCAACCTCATCACAAGGCTGGAGAAGCCGAAGAGAATGGGATTGCGATCCGAAAATTCTACCCTCCTGAAATGAGTAATGCGAGAGCTCGCGCCTACAACAATAATGAGCTTCCGCGACCGATCGAGGCCCTCGTCAGTGCCCTCGAGGATACAGCACAGAAGCGTAAGAGTACCGGCGTCAAGAAAGCAGTCGTCCATTGGTTCAAGATGGACTTGCGTCTATCCGACAACAGAGCTTTGGCTCTAGCCAGTGATAGGGCCAAAGAAGCAGGAGTTCCTTTAATTGCGATGTACATCATCAGCCCCCAAGACTACGAGGCTCATTTGAGATCGCCAGTACGGATCGATTTCATGCTGCGAACTCTGGAGGTCATCAAACATGATCTTGCAAAGCTCGATATCCCTTTGTACGTGGAGACAGTTGAGAAGAGGAAGCGTGTTCCCAACCGGATCTTGGAGCTCATGGACGAATGGGGCGCCAGCCATTTGTATGCCAATATGGAATACGAAGTTGACGAATTGAGGCGCGAGGCCTCGATGATCAGGGATTTCGCAGAAAATGGCAAAGCGTTCGAAGTGGTCCACGACACTTGTGTTGTCCCCCCAGGAGAACTCCATACCGGCGCTGGGAAGCAGTACGCAGTGTACACTCCATGGTATCGGTCATGGGTTGCTCACATTCACGAGAATCTTGACCTTTTAGAATTGTACGAACCACCTGAGAAGAACCCCAGCAGTGCGCGAAAGGACTTTGCGAAGCTCTTCGATGTTGCCATTCCAGACGCCCCCAAGAGCAAACGACTTGATGGCGAAGAAAAGGAGCGATTACGCTCACTTTGGCCATGCGGAGAGCATGAGGCGAAGAAGCGTTTGGACAAATTCTGTGAAGAGATGATCAGCAACTACCAGAGGAAGAGGAATATTCCATCTGAGGCCGGGACATCTTCCATATCGGTACATCTGGCGTCTGGGACGATCAGTGCGAGGACATGCGTACGGACCGCGCGTGACCGAAACAAGACGAAGAAGCTGAACGGTGGCAACGAAGGTATCCAAACTTGGATCAGTGAGGTTGCTTGGCGAGACTTTTACAAGCACGTCTTGGTCCATTGGCCTTATGTCTGGTAAGTGAAATATGTGCAAGCATCTTGTGAGTTTGACTAACAGGAGCAGCATGAACAAGCCTTTTAAGCCCGAATACTCAAACATCTCATGGTCATACGACAACGAACATTTCGCCGCTTGGTGCGAGGGAAGAACAGGGTTTCCCATCGTCGATGCGGCGATGCGGCAGCTGAACCATCTGGGATACATGCACAACCGCTGTCGCATGATTGTCGCTTGTTTCCTGGCAAAGGACCTCTTGCTAGACTGGTAAGTCATGTTGAAATATCAATGTTTGGGCCGTTTCTCTAACTTCCTCACAGGCGAAAGGGTGAAAGGTACTTCATGGAACATCTTGTCGATGGTGACTTTGCTTCAAACAATGGCGGCTGGGGTTTCAGCGCCAGTGTTGGTGTTGATCCTCAACCTTATTTCCGCATCTTCAATCCCTTACTACAGAGCGAGAAATTTGACCCCGATGGCGATTACATCCGCAAATGGGTTCCGGAGCTCAAGGATCTTGATAGTAAGGCTATTCATGATCCATACAATCGAAACGCTGGGCCCAAAGCTAAGAAGAACGGCTATCCCGCACCGATTGTTACGCATAAGGATTGTCGGGATCGAGCGTTGGCAGCATACAAGGAGGGCCTTGCGAGCGGCGAGTGATATAGTGTGGATGCATTCAACCTTCAGGCTAATAGTAGACGCCGATTCATTTGGATATGTATGAACTTATGAGAGTTGTATGCCATGCATTAATACCCTGTTCGGTTTGTTCTCAAGAACTTCTATTAGCTACTATTGACGCCTAGCCCTGAAGTCATCGTAAAATTCATCCAGTCTTGATCCAGTCGCATACTGGTGACGTCGAATTCATATGCCCAATGGAACGCCACTTCCATGTTTCCTCTTCCTTGAATCACCCATCAGAAGATGAGCCTCGAGGTTAGAGAAGAGCTCAGATCAGTTCGTTCTCACGGACTCAGAGCGCTTGCATCGCCGTAAACATATAAGCATCTTAAGACTGCTCTTGAGCTGGTGGGCAGACCTGGCATCTACGTATCGAGCCCAGACTTTGTGATCTGGAGGCTAGAGGCTGGAGAATGGCATTCGGTCTACAATAGCACGTAAGGGCAGGATAGTCACAAGTTGAAAAGTTCATGTTAGACCCGTATCTGTACCATAGCAAACGACTTGAGCGCTACGGCTTTTTCAAGGCCTAGTCAATCAATCTGCGGCACGGAGACTATCAAAGTAGCCCCAGAATCCTCGGAGTGGTTTGACCTGAGAAGTCTGTCCGAGGAGACTTCGCTAGCCGTATATCGGAGCATAACCAGTTCATCACATCTTCAAACACGAATTCGGGATATCGTAATGTTGTCTCAAAATCGAGCCGAACGCCTCGAAGTGGATTTGCTAGATGCAGCCAACCCTAGTTTCTTTCACCCATTGCCTTCGTGCCCGAACCCAAAACCCTGTAGTCCATTCGTGTCAGACTCCCATGTCGAGGAATCTCAGGACCAGTTGTCGAGTAACTTTTTTCCCACAGATTTAAATCCTTTATCGCTGTCCGCTCCAGACGCTCTTGAGGAGGCCGTCGCGCTGGGCCAGTCGGTTGAGGGAGTCGTCGCTCTCGCCCATCGCTCGGACGAAACCGCAGAGGGCGTAGACGTGGTTCTCGCCCTGGATGGCACGGCCGTTCTCGTCAACCTTGGCAATGGAGATCTGGACAGAGCCGTGATCCTTGGCCTTGATGATGCGGTTGGTGGCGCTGCACTTGCGGGGGACGTAACTGGTGATGCCGTATCAGTATCATGAATTGTTCCTTCGCGCGTCCATATCCAATGTCCCAATGGAAGTCTTACAGGTCCACAATCTCGCCGCGGTCGTTCTCCATTTTGGCTGATTTGAAGAGGGTGGTTTTGGGTGATCTTGAGTGGTTGTGTCGACGAGAGGTGAGAAGGAAGATGAGTAGAGTAATTTCTCAATAATCTTTGATTGTGGGTGTGGAGCAAATCCCGGCCCTACCTTCCTAGGGACGCCTCTCGTTCGTGGGGCGGGTCCTTTGTTAGATCACGTGTCGTATCATGTGACAGCGCGTATCGGATCGCGAAGGCAAGCATTAGTGTCGCCTCGCATTTTGGCGAACCCCTTGCGCCTGAAGGCGAACCACTTCTATGACCCCGATACTAAGATTAGGCGTTCTCAGATCATGACCCCGCCGTTGCTTATTTTCAACGTCTTTCAACCTCGACATCATTTTGCTACAAATACCGGGCCTGAGATGCGCTCTGCGCTCTCGGTCCATAAACTTTAGTTTGAGTGTCATGGTATCCTCTGATGTATTCGGGACTTCGCCACTAGGAGACACAAGACGTCAACCGTTGCACGTCAATTCTTCATCCCCTGACCTCCCATCACTTCGGGACGTTTTAACGACGAAAGCCACATCCCAACCTTCGGTACAAAATGGAAGCGGAGCCGCAGCACTTCCAATAGATGGACCATCTGGTTTCATCTCTGCTCGCCAACTCTATCCAGCAACAGAACCGACGTCAAAGGTTGTTTCGACACCATCAACTGGATCGCCTTGGA